GCGGGCGGACGGGCGGGGTCGCGTCGCCCGCGAGTGGGCGGGTCACGAGGCTGGGAGACTCGGGGGGCCGGAGCGGTCCAGATTGATCGGAAGGGTAGATGGGAGAAGGACAGTGAAGAAGAGCTAGACACGAATAGGACGAAGGTGGTTAGCGTATAGCGTTCGGAAAAGAAGAACAAAATGGCGATGTTGTAGACGAAAATAGAGATGAAGAAGGCAGGCAAGAAGGACGGAGGAAGGATGGCACATCCATGCGTCCGACGGAGAGACTCCACCGGGCGAAGAGATGCGGGGGCGTAGAAGATCGGATTGGGGAGGGGTGGAGGTCCGGTGTGGGCGGCTCCGCAAATACGACGAAATAGGCCGGAAAACTGAGCGGGAGGCGCGAAAAAGCGAACGGAGCTCGCGATCCGTGAAATAACTGTACGGGGGCCAGCGCTGAACGGCAGTCGGCCGGCAGGCGGGCGACGGCCCAGAGGTGGAAGGGAAGGTGAGGGCAGAGGCGACGGCGAGGCTGGAAGTGCAGGTGTTGATGGCTGCGGTGAAGGTGTGGGAGATGACGGCGTGGGCGTTGGCGGCGGCGAAGACGTGGGCGACAGCATGGGCCTGGAGGAGGTGGGGGCGATGGAGCGTGGGCGAGGCGGCGTAGGCACGAGTTGACGGTGGCAAGACGGGCACTCAGCAAGGGTTGCCGGCTGCGAGGAGATAAGGGCAGTCGCCGACGAGTATAAATAAACGCTCTCGCAGTATCTGCGCTGCTCCGGCTCCACGCCCGACGCTGGAGTGAAACCTTTTGACATTCTTGTTCAGGTTTCTCTGTATGTACACTGATATATCGTACGCTCGTATCGTAGGTACTGTGAAGGAAGTTGCAGTCCTGACGTAGAAGTGTGAACAACGTGCACTAAAGAGAAATGTTCATGACAATTCCTGCCACTCCAGTCGTGTGACCAAGAATGTTTCAACCCCCAGGACGCATTCTAGTACATTCTACTTTCATATTTTTCGAAGCCGTCACGCGTGTTTAAAATACTTCCACAGCACTAAATTGAATTCAAGCATAAACGTGCTGAAAAACAAAATGACAATATCACACCACACATTTTATTTGTATAAAATTTAATTTCGCAAGTTTGTGTACTAGCTCTCTACTGGTTCAGTATTTCTAAAATCACTCTGTATCAACGGGTATCGCTGAAGAGCGGGGTTGCCTGCGGTGGGAAGAACGCTTATATAAATTCCTGGTCACGTTCTTGATGATAAAAGGGCAGCGTTCGGATTTTATTGTAAAGCAAATACGTGATTTGAGCGAATTTCCTTCGGCAAATAGTATATCTCGCCGTAAAATGAGTCACAGTCAACGAAAAATTATTTTGAAATAAACTGTTTGCGAAACACTAATTTGATTGTAGCCTCACATATCACTTTACGTACTATGGTTACATAATACACAAATACAATTTCATCGTTGCTATCTCTTTACGAAAATCTACGTTGCTATCTCTTTACTTAAAGAAGAATGAACACTTACGTTGTTGTTTGTTTTTTGTCATGATAGAGTGCATTTTTCTCTCTCTCCGTACAAGTAGTTAAAAAATGTGAGAGGCCGTTGTTCAGAAAATCTTTATAATTATTTTTCAATTGATATTATTTGACGGGAAACTTTGTTTGATAGGACACATTTTACGGAAAACTAATAAATTGAAAACCATGCATGTAAAATGTTATAAAATGTCAAATTTTACTAATAGATTGCATCAAAAGAAATCGCTTGGATAATAAAGTGTATGACAGATTAAAAACGTAACTAGTGCAATTTTCGAAAGTTACCTCTCACAGAAAAGGTCTACCCGAAAAACGCCATTTCGCCAACAACACTACGTCCTACCAAGATACTAAGCGAAAGTGAGTGCGGAGCATCCAACGAGTACACTGGGCGTGCATTGAGAGAGTTTTTTTTTCTTTTGTCCCCTCCACAGTATCCCTGTGAAGAAGGGGAGTTTATTTTCTATGAATTTTTTAATACGCTGCTGCCTTGCGGCTTAAGCAGCTACAGGCGGGGCTTTTTCTTACAACTAACTTACAATCTAGACCTAAAGTTAACATTGAGAGAGCGATCAGGCGGTGGTGGCGCCGTGGCCGCACGGAAGAGCGGACGGCGACGCACAAGGAAGTGCGCGAGAATCAAGCGCACTGGATGTCCGTTGGACTTCGTTCCCTGGACGACGACGACGACGGCGGCGGCAGCGGTGGCGGCGCACGCGTGCCTCACAGCGCCACAGACCCGCGACCGAACTGAGCACAAAGGAAACATTCTCCCCCCCTAACAACAAAAACTTTATTCCTCATAAATTAATTCCTGGACCAATTCAATACATCATGATACATTTGATACCCCAATGATACATTTCAAGAAACATAAATTAAATCAATCCCAATTCCAAATTATTTTCGGTTCAATCAATTTTGGGGGGCATGCCCCCATCAAATTTTTAAGCACGAACAACCAGCCAATTCATTCAATAACGAAGCGGAAAGGCGAAGATTTAAAAAAAAAAAAAAAAAATAAAGACGTGGGATGAATTAAAACGATAAGCGTAAATGAGAACAACAGAACTATACTACTCTTACAGATCTTAGCATAAACTCATTAAACAGTTCATTTTAGGATAAATAAAACATATGAACGTTTGGGAAGAGGACACGGTCTCATAAGACAATTTTCATTTCGTAAAATGGTTATAGTGCGACCGAAAACGTTTTTTGCTGGATAAACATTACGTATCATGAGTACATTT